ATTCTTAGTCCATTGTACAGACCCAATTGAATAAATCAATCAACTCTGGCATATCAATGAACAGAATAAATCAATAAACTAAGTAAAGGAAAATGATAATTTGAAGGTAAAAGGGTACCTAAGGTTATCGTACTCTTCAAAAAAATCAATGTGGCCCTCAACTTTCTTTTGCACCTAATGTGGCCCTTAACTTTCTTTTGCACCTAATGTGGTCCTTTACCAAAGTTTTCTGTCGTTGACCAACAGTTCCGTTATTTTCTATTTACGTGGCATGTTAAGTAGACCAACATCCTATTTTGTCTCTCAATCTGGCCCTCCAACTTAAGAAAATAACTCAATCTGACCCTCTTATTTTTTTCTCTTTTATTTTGGTCACTAAACTTTAATATTTTTCAATTCAATCACTCAACTTTTGAATTGTTCATGTTTTAATCATCATGATTTATTTTTATTAATATTTATGTATGATGTGGAATTTTTTTTCTTTTGAACTAAAGATTTTTTTCCTTTCATTACCATATTCAGTGAACCCATATTGAATTTGTAAAAAAATTGAAAAAACTGGGGATGAGTTGCTTGATCGGGTAATAAAAAAAGAAATCTTTGGTTGAAAAGAAGAAAAATGAAATGAGAGGATAAAGGAGGAGAGTAGAGATTTGGAAATATATAAAGCACAGGGAATATTTTTCAATTTAATTATAATTTTGAGAATTTTTTTGTTTCAATATAATTTTAAAATTTTAATTTAATTAATATCATTTTAATCATATATTAAAGAATAATAAATGCCACATCATACATAAATATTAATAAAATAAATCATGATGATTAAAACAAGAGTAATTCAAAAGTTGAGTGATTAAATTGAATTGTTTTAAAGTTTAGTGACCAAAATAAAAGAAAAAAATAGGAGGGCCAAATTGAATTATTTTCTTGAGTTGGAGGGTCAGATTGAGAGGAAAATAAGATGTTGGTCTGCTTAATGTATTAAGTCACCACAAAATAATGGAGTTATTGGCCAACGATGGAAAGCGTTGGACAAAAGACCATATTGAATTTTTTTTAAATTGGAAAGCTACATTAGGTATAAAAAAAAGTGGAGAGTCACGTTGTTTTTTTTAAAAAAGTACAAGGACCTTATATTATCTTTTGGCTAATTTGAAACGTGATTTTTGGAGAGAAAAAGACTCAATTTTGAAATCTTTAATGACTATATTAGTATTTATCTCTAACTCGAATATTATAATATTGCTACTTTTTTTAATTCAATGATTGGAGTTTTTTTTTTTAAATTAACGTAACATCTAAATGTGAGAAAGAAAAATATCCAAAACTATTTTTTTCCTTTCAAGTTTGAACACATTGAAGCGCTGACGTGGTACTTCCTCTACCTCTTTGAACCATGCGGTCAAAGGCCACGGGAATCGGGCCTATTTATTCGGCCCCAACTCCACTTAATTAGACCACGCGCCACGCCTGAACCGTTCTCCAAATCATTTTCCCGCTCGAACCATGGAAGGTTGCAGCTTCAACAAACAAAACGATATTCTCACGTGGCTGGACAATGTAAAAGCCACTTGCAAAACCTCCACGTCGGAGAAGGAAAGCAGCAGCGCGTCAATTATCAGACATAATCCCCGTCTCGATCGAAAGCCCCAAAAGTATTGAATCCAATCACAGCTCTCAAACCGCTAGGAAACGACACGTGGTACTCATGGAGATGACATCATCGGCGTAGGTTAGATTTTTGGTGTTAATAGAAGCCATTAAAATTCAGAATACGATCAGTTCCCAGGCAAAGAAAAAAGAAGTAGAAAAAGAACAAAAGCAGATGAGAGAGATTTAAATTATTTCTCGTTTTTTCCATATTCACTTCAATCATTAGTTTCTGAGTTTTTTGGGGGTAGATTTTGTTGCAGGGAATTATTTGAAACCTCCTCTCCTTTTATGTTTTTTCTTTTTCTTTTTCCCGAAGGAGTCTTTCCCCACCCTCTGTCTCCTCTCAGACGAGAAGAAGGAATTTCAAATTTCAGTTGGTAGAAGAATGCATTTCGTTGATAAGATTTCAACTCGAATCCTCCACTGTCTTATGTTGATTTTGATTTCCATTTGAGATCAACAGAGATTTACTTTTTTTTCCTGGAATATTTTTTCTTCTACAATTGAACTGTCAATGCCTGTGAAGAACGTGATCGTATAATCGTGGTCCATATTCTCACTCACGACACGACTTCACTATTAGATCATTTTGAATATTCCAGAACAAATTAGCGACTTATGCCACCGATACCGTTGAAGGTGGATTATCTCTACTTCCTCTAAACTGAATTATCTGATTACTTAATTAGCCTCTTTTTTGTGTGAAAAAAAAACAGGGCTATTGAAGCTGCAAAAGGATGTAAGATCGTGTGAATACCGGGATGTGCAAGTGATGTGTAGGGATGGGTATGGGTCGGGTTTTGGGTCCACCCGACCCGAGAAGTAGAGTACCTCCACCTGTAACCCGACCCGATGAAATTATAATTTCACCCGATCCGATAGACAATTACAAAAATCCGATCTGACCCGACCCGACCTGATTTAATTTTTTATTTATTAAAACCCACGCTTGGTTAGTGCAGTTTTCATGGTTTAGTGTTTATTGCATGAATCTCGGTGCATAGCACATGCTCACCACCTTCAGTTATTTTTCTTTTGATTTTCAGCTTTATCTCCCGTTTTAGGTATATTGGTGGGTCCATCTTTTTTTGTTTGATTCATTAAATGAAGGTGTTGGTTTCAAAGGTGCCAACCCATAAATCTTGGTGAACAAAACCAAATAAACTTGGACCACTGATAGGGAATTTTAAAAATTCGGGAGAACTACTATTCTCACGAAACACAAGAAAATGGAATTTTGAAAGTTGCCGGGTAGGAATAGTCAAAGTAAAAAAAAATTAATAATAATTATATATTAACTATTCGGGTCGGGTCAAGTAGGATTATTTTAACCCTAAACCCAACTCCAACCCAACTCTGAATATTTTAATATAAAATCCAACCCGATCCGAATCTAAATTTTTTTTAAAAAAAAATCTGACTTAATCAGATCGGGTCGGATCGAGTTAGAACCCATCGGATTCAAGTTCCATGCCCATCCCTAGATGTGGGAGATGCTGAGAAGATCCGAGTTTGGAATTGGAGAATCTCCCAACAGATGCAAAAAGTGACCATTGAAAAGATGCTTTGAATCGCAATGGACTAGGAAACCTCCTTTTCCTCGTCGCGGCTTCTGACCACGGTCCTTTGCATTCCTGGTTCCATTTTTGTTCTCTTTTTCATCCTATATGCTACTCCCTGGTAGCTAGGTTTTATGTCTCGTAAGAATCCCAACCACAATATAACTGAGGGATTGAGGAGGGAATGGTTTTATGGGATTGCTCCCCTTCCTTTTTTTTCTTTTAAACATCAAATCATTTGTATATATCAGCTGCTTACCAGGTCCTATATCTCCATGTTCTATCTCGTACTCTAATAAATATTCGGTAAATGTGCTAATAATCTATATAAATGATTTGGTATTAGGTTGATGATGAATCTTGCTGGCCTTATTTGTTTATAAAAAATACAATATAAAACTTTCATCTCCTCAAAATTTGGGTTTGATCTCGAATTTGAGTTTAAATCGAATTTGAGTTGGAACTTAAATCGAATTTGAGTTGTTTCAATCGAACTAAATCTGAATGTTTTGAGTTCTAAGTTTTTTTTAACTTGAATCAAACTTTAACTCGGTAAATTTTTGAATTCTGCTTTTGCTAACTTTATTGGGATCCACCATCATATATAACCATAAGAATAAATTTAAATAATCAAACGTTAAACCTCTTGATTTATAATTTAATATTAATATTTTCATATATAACGTTAAGATAAATATCAAGAGAAGTTCGAAGGAGACAAAAATATAAAAAGGAAAAGAAAGAGAAAAGAAGAGTTAATTCGAAAGATATAAATCATATTTGATAATTTTATTTTCACTTTAGAATGGGTGAATAGTTATTCTTATTCTTACCCTCCTTTATTTTTTTCACTTTAAAAATCACAGTGAAATGTCCCAAGACTAATTTTGATAGTAGTTGTAACTTAAAAAGATTGTGATAATGAACTTAACCTTAAAATTCCATCTATTTATAATGTTTAAGACCAAATAAGTCTTGAAATGAAATATTCAATCCGATGTAGGGTTAGTTCAATACCTCCTAGGATGTTCATGGCATCCATTTTGAGTAGCTTTTTTTTACTCCTCGGCTGCTGCTTGACCATCCTGCGTACAAGTGAAGTTATTACCAAATGCTTGCTGACTGCCGGCCGGCCGCCATGATCAGTTTTAGCTTTGAGCCTTTGAGTTATAACTTACAATACCACCTCTCAATAACTAGTTAATTACTTGTAGCTTTATCACTTAATTTTCACGTATGCTCATCACCTCCACCTTCCGCACAGTCCACCGAATGACGTAAAGGGTTGTTTTAAGATGGACCGTCACTATTATTCTCTCTCTCTCCTGAGCTTTAATGGTTGGTACTGTATCATTTAATGGAGTGCGGGGGAATCGGACTCCGTGCATAAGCAACAACCCCTTTGCAGTTCTAATTTTCTTCCCTTGTTTTCATTATGATCGATTATTGTGATTCCATGTCTGAGAAAGCAAACGAAACGTGGGGCGTGTAACAGCAAAAACAAAGTGCAATTGGCAGTTGGCACAAAATAAATGCTAAAGGGTACCGGAGTTAAGAAAGAACGTGGACAACGGCTCGCTTTCCCACCCATAATTTATTTTTGCAGCATTGAAAGTCTTCATTCATTTTCCCTCAATGACACTGTTCTGGCCTCTCCCTGCAATAACAACGGCAATTACTCCCTTCTCTGCATCCCTACAGCCAAGAGAGACCAGACAATGAAACTCACATGCTTTCTTTTATTATTCACATACCCATTTAAAGCATTTATTTATTACTATATTTTTTTATATCTTACACTACAATTTCAAAGGCATGGCTGGGCCGCTATTAGGCACTAGACAATAATCACTAAGCCACCCACTTCACCTCCTTATCTCCACGGGTTTTCTGGTCGACTTTCAAGTTTCTCAAATCTGGGGTGACGAAAGCTGCTTGCTCTTTTATTTTTTTTCTTCTTTAAATTATATTTTGGTAACTGGAAAAGAGAGATCCATCATCCGTGAACTGAAATGTGTTGCTGCATATAAAGGGTGTAATTGGAGAAATCAACTCTTTGTTTGGAGAACTCACCATCTGCCATTATGAAGTTCCCTGAGATTTGGGTTTTCTTCTTTGTGGTTGGGGCAGCCTTGGTTGCCCTTACCTTCTCCAGCAGCTCCTCCGTTCCTGGTAAATGTTGTAACTCGTACTCTTCTATTTTTCCTCGACTAAACATAATTCATTTCTCCTTCTAAGAGCAATTCCCCCCATAACTAGACCAATGGTAATTGCTGCATTGCGATCTGTGTGAGTATTATAGCAAAATGCATGGTTTCTTAACAACTTAACCTTCTAATATTAGTTACCGCTGAAGAATACTAATTTGCATGAAAACTGAAAAGTCACTTAAACCGTATTTTTTTATGTTCTGTATCTGTTAATGATCCGACTAATATTATGAATTAAACTTTAGGATAAACTACACTAAATACTTATAAATTTTAGGTAGTGTATTGTACATTTCAATTACACACTGATACTTTATTTTAGGGTAAAATACGTGTTTAGTATCTAAACTATCAATTTTAGTCCGTTTTAGTATTTAGACTTTCATTTTTTTCAAAATCATACCTAAAGATTAGTTTTTGTTTCATTTTAGTACCCGTTCAAAACTTAACGTTAAGTTCTGAAAATTTAAGTACTAAAACGGACCAAAACTTATAGTTTAGGTACTAAACGCGTTAAGTTTTTAATGGTGGGTACTAAAATGAAAAGAAAATAAATGTTAGGTGTGGTTTTGAAAAAACTAAAAGTTTAGGTATTAAAATGGGTCAAAATTGATAGTTTAGCTAATAAATTTATAACTTACCCTTGATTTTAACTTCAATTATATTATTCGATTGTTAAAATCAAAATGATATGATGACATGGAAAAGACATTATCGTTTTGTCGACATCATTACATGAGGGAAAGATATGTTCATGTCATCATACCATTAAATTTTAACAACCTGATATATAATTGAAGTAAAAACTAAAATTTGAGCAATTGAAAGTTCGGTAATATAAAAGTTACACCTCATAAAGTTAAAGTGAAGTAATATTTGTTCCTTAAAGTACAGCTTTTGTGACTGCACATGGCTTGTTATTTGAAGAATTAAATGACCTCACTACATCCTATTTCTTGTTATACAAGTTTTGCGTCAATTTTCTTAAATTCGTTACTCTCAAACTGTCTTTAACCCTCACTCTCGTCTATTACAGATATTTTGTTTTCGTTCTTTGGGTTGTTGCCTTGCTGGCGGTAGGTTAAAGCAATTATTTATTGGTTTATTTCAATGATATTTATAACTAGTTGATCCACTCGTAGGCTATGCTTGTCCCATATCTAAATCAAGCCAATAAAATGATGTAGCTTAGAACCCAAGGGTTTGACCCGAGGTTGAGGGCAATGCATTTCAAACCAATGGCTCGGGTTTAACTTTTAAGTGTGGGTGCGTTCAGAAAATGTAGCTTAAAATTGCAGAGTTGCATGTCAATGTCAATTCACGTGGTTCAAGTAATGCTTTCACTAACTTGATGATCAGAATTTATCTTCTTCTTTTCTTAGCCAGAGATCAAATGTTTATTGCTAAAGTTTATGAATTGTGTTGGTAAATATGGTACAAGAATAGCAGAAACCAAAGACATATCAATGTAAGAATCATTAATAATCACATGTAAGAAGATTTTTAAATGTCATCCCAGGTATGGAGTTTTTGCAACATGGCGGTGGTACGAGGGTGACGGGAACGAGTAGGAAGCTGAAGGTATGCATTCACTACATGCATGCCACAACCTGCTAAGAGAAGCCTTTTTCCTTTAGAATTTTGAGACGTTTTCTCATCTGAAATTGCAGGGGATCGGCAATGAAAAACAGAACAATGTGGATATGGAAGATTACCATCCCATTGATCCAGTTCCAAGCTCAAAGGCATCTATAAAACCTGGTCCTATTGAGCATGGTACTCCTCTTATTCCATATATCCCCAAACCCTCACCTCCTGACAATTCCAAGATTGGTGGTTCCACTTAAAGTCATTACTATCAGCTGAAGAACGTGGCTACGTAATACCATCTGTGTTATCTAATCTTGTACACTCGATAACTTATAGTTGCCTATGTATATGCAGCTTAAGTTTATGTATTTGTTAGGTTTTGGCCTTGTATCGTTAATGTCATTTCCATTTTGTTGAATTAACTAGCATATCTACTATCACAGCTGCTATTTTGATGAATATAAAAATTGTCTTACGTACTGGGGTTGAGCTACGGGAAACTATCAGAATACAAGCAAAGAACATGGACAGGAAACAATCATGGTGGACCTACTTAGCCGAAGGCCAAGGCTCATAGGGTGACCAAATCAACAGCACTCAGAAAACTAACGAAACTGGAATTCTTTATATCACCGACCAGCTAATACAAAAAGCGACTGCATTCATTTAGTCCCTTTCTTTTTGATTAGCTAGGCCTAGTGGAAAGAATATATCATCTCATAATCACCAAAGCAATGGGACCGCAAAAAACTCATTTATCTTGGCCATTGTATCAGCTACCATGTGATCGAGTTTTAAAACATTACTTGAACAAGGATTAATTCCTCCGACTGCAATGACATTTTCGATCTCCAGCTTTGACTCCAATTTCAACTTACTGTTCATCTCTGGCCGCCTATAGTTGTTAGGCTGATGTCAGATTTCTGACCAAATAGATTAAACTCTACCCGATCATTTTCAAAACTGGCTACTCAATTCATGTTGATAGACTTCTCATCCAGCTCCTTTACCGCAAACAAAACTGTTTTTACTCAAAAAAAAATGTTTTTGCTTAACTGGTTTACTTCTAGTAAACGAGGGTGCTGTAGGAACCAATGTTACCTAATTCGCCCCCAACCCCACGAATCTCACTTGAATTCGTTAGTTCCCATTTGAGGTTAGTTCGCATGTCAAGTCGTTAAGGAAGAGAAAGAAGCATCAAAATGCCTGTACCATGCACAATCCATGTACTAACATAGGGAAGAAGATAAACTTAAGTTGCAATGTTGCACAACTCTTCTTTCAATTAAGCAATGGAAGGATAAAGTCCATTTCTAATTTATAAAATGAATCGATCATCTCAAATAATCCCACCTAAAGAATCACATCTCAAAATACGTTTCAACAATCAAAAGAACCACAAACGGTGAAACTAGCGAATTGTGATCCAAAACGAACCGCGGATTAGGTAACGCTGGGAGGAACTGTTAAACTCTCTTTATTGGAGTGCTTAATCATGGAGAGAAAACCAATGGGGATAACTTTAATACCAATGATTGAAGGCTTGTTTTTCTTTTTTTTTTCTTGATTAATGAAGGCTTGTTTTTCATGTGTTAAAAATGCTTCTGTGCGTCTGCTGCAAGCAATAGCTTCAGTAAGCAAAGATATGATATCATATGGTGACAACAGGCAATGTGATATGTATGAAATTGGAATTTCATGTTGAAACTGTAATCATTGGAATTTGGTTGTCATCCGTCTACACTTTGCCAAGTGAAAAGTCTAAAAACTCTGCCATGTTATCCATATGGTTTAATAGCCTTTTCTTTTCTTTTCTTTCTCTCATCTTTGTAGGGTTACTTAATGCATGCACGATTCAGAATTCACTCAGCTTTTTGATATCTTATTGATAGTTTTATCACTGTCCAGCCCCAGATAACAGGCCTACCAATCTACCACAAAAGCTTTAAACACCTACCCAGATGGAATAAATTTGTCAGGAAACATTAGAGGATTAAAACAAAACGTTCCTCGATTTACCATGGTTAACAAACATGATTATCCTTTTCCAGATAAGAATTGGAATAATGTGGAAGATTTCATTATCTGTTGACAGTAACAATACAAAAGAGAGGTGTAGGATTTGGAGGAAAGAGATGGAAAATTGCTTTTTATGGGGATGGTCCTTTGATGGAATTTAATGGAAGCTTGTGTTGGTGTCTAGAAATATTGTGATTATGATTTTGTAGCATTTTTGGAATTTTAGCTCCCCTTCTTTTCTCTCTGTGTAGTTCGTCGAATCAAATTTGTTCATGACAGATTCTTTGAGTGATACGTACTAAAAAGCGTACAGCAAAGACAAATGATTAAACAACACATGCACACACGCACCCCTAATTAAATTATCAATCAAATATATGACTATGATTCATAGTCCCAGTATGTGTTAAAAGCTTAATGGTTAAAAATAATGATTTGTCGGTAACGTTAATGGTCATTATTAGGTAGCGGTAGGGATATAGTACAAAGAGTAAAGAATAATTAAGGTATGCCCATCGTCCACAGATGAACCAAACCTAACTTTTTTTTCCAGCTAATAATAGCCTCTAATTTTACATATTTGGAATTAAGGTTAAAGTTGGGTGGAGTTAGAACAAGTCCTAGAAGCTATTTCAATAGTCTTTTTGGGCAATACTGGTAATCCATGAAAATAGAGAAAGCCATGCAAAAGATGAAAATAATTACTTACGTGTGAATATGGTATCTAAATATAGCATCTTAACCTGCATGAAATATTATGTTCAGACTCTTAGATAAATCTCTATCTTTTTTATTACAAAAAAAAGTGAGTTTTAGAGGAAGCAATTTATTTTTATGAATAAATTAAATCTATTACAAGATATGATCTAAATATTTAATTAACTTAAATTTTGAATTTGATTTTTAGATGATTTTTCTTTTCTCTTCTTTTTCCTATAAAACCTAAATATAAATTTTAAGAGAAATAATTTATTTTTTATTGTATAGATTAAATCACGTGTAAATTTGATACCAAATTTTCAGTTCAAAAAAAATATTAAGAAAAAGAAAAAAAGATAAATATTAAGACTTACAAATTCAATGTAGCAATGATTTACAGAGAGAGGTGAAAAAATAAAAAATAATTGTAGGAAATTTGAAAATAAGAAGAAGACAAAAGACAAATATGCATATTTACCAATACACGTAGTAAACGAATTGTAGGGCTAAAAAATTAAAATAGTTGTTGAAAAAATGTTAATTTATGAATAGTTTTCAATTATGTATGAATGTATCTTTACTAATTAAGTAATTATTGTAGTAAGTGAAGTTTATTTATGAATAATTTTAAATTATGTAAAAAATATGTTTTATTTATCATGTTTATATTATGTTTTATTTATCGACTTTATAATACTAAACTATTTGATTTAAACAAGCATTACAAGCATTAACTTCTACATTACATTAGAAGTGAAAGAAGTTGTGGCTTGATTATGATACTCGACAGATGTTAAGTTCAGTTCTTCAATCCTTCATTTTTTCTCTTGTTTCCTTCCATAAATAGTTCTAGTTCTTGAAGTTCATATTTTATATTATAAGACATGTATCCTAATTTAGTGTTTGAAGTGGAAGGAGTTGCGACTTGTTTATGATACTCGACAAATAGGTTAATGTTACTCATTGAATTGGTAATGTATGTGTCAATTTGTTCAAACTGTAGAATCACTATGAAGATATCCCATTGATGAATGTTGTGGAACCACATAGGTGGCAAATCTGAAGTGTAGTGAAGATAGTGTTGAATATTGATTAGCTTTAATCGTGTTTGAAAATTTCGCCATCAAATCAAAAAGTTAAATTTTTTTTATCGAATGAGATGATAAAAGATTTCCCTTCACAATAAATTGTTGCCTAAATTATTATCATGATAAACTTAAAAATAAAAACTTGAACAATGATATTGGGTGAAGATGTGATTTGAGATTTTTTATATTACTTATATAGAGATGACTATATATAAACATAATAATTATAAACTCGTAATCACAAAATGACGAGTTACATAACAATAATTTCTTATAATTATTTAGATTTTTTAATACTTATACTACATTATATTACACATTACAAACATTTAACTCCTATGATTTTCAAAGTCAATTATAATATTTTTTCATTTTTCCAAAAAATAATAAAAATAACCCTTAACATTTTCACTGCATGTGCATATTCATCTCTCATCCTTAACAATTGCTAAAACTAAGGGAATTTTAGATATCGTTGTCATAGCGATTTTTTTTATAATGTTCAAATTGGCCTTGGTTCTTCGTATCATGCATTGGAGGGTGATTTTCTAACATTTTATTATCCTTCCGAAACATCCCCTCTAAATGCAACAATCATATTCCTAATGCATATGTTGCCTCCATTTTTCTCATCGTAGATGTTTCCTTCAAAGTCTCACACCCAATATCAACATTGACATAATATTTTGAAAAACACTCTAATATACATTCCCTATGTAGTGCACCAAGATTTTTCAAAAGAACAACTTCTCGTAAGGACAAGAATTTAAAACAAAGATTTTGAAAATACTGACCTCGACTTTGCAACCAAACAAAAATCTCAACAAGTTTAGCAAAGATTTAAGAAATCTCCAATATTATTCCCGACATCGCATCCTAAAATCTTATATAAGATTTCATTTGGGAGATTAGAAAAGCAAATATTAGATGATGTATTGATAGTAAGTTTGGAGATGAGGACCACGATATATATATATATATATATAAACACTTATCACCTTTAATCAAATTCTGATTTGAGGTGATAGATCACTAAAAAGAAAAGGACACGAGTAGTTAAGATTCTCTATCATTTGAAATTATTATTGTAGCGAATAAGATTTTTCTTTCAATATAAAATAAGTTCTGATTAAGGTGATATATTATTGAAAAGAAAATGACTTGAATAGTTAAGATTCATTTCCATTTGAATTTATTATTGTATAAGAAATCTTTTTCCATTCAATATGAAATAAGTTCTTATTTGAGGTGATATATCATTGAAAAGAAAGAAATTGAATAGTTAAGATTCTCTGTCATTTGAAATTATTATTGTGAATGATAAGATTTTTCATTCAATATGAAATAAGTTCTTATTTGAATTGATAATTCACTGAAAAGAAAATAACGTAAATAGTTAAGATTCTTTATCACTTGAAATTATTATTTGAAATTATTATTGTACTTGAAAAGATTGTTTATTCAGTATGAAATAAGTTCTAATTTAAGGTTATATATCACTGAAAATAAAAATGTTATGAATAGTTAAGACTCTATCATTTAAAATTATTATTGTATCGGATAAGATTTTTCATTCAATATGAAATAAGTTCTGATTTGAAGTGATAATTCACTGAAAAGAAAATGATGTGAATAGTTGAGATTATCTGTCATTTGAAATTATTGTTCTACCGAAAAAGATTTTTCATTCAATATGAAATAAATTTTTTATTTGAGATGATATATCACTGAAAAGAAATAATGTGAATAGTTAAGATTCTCTATCATTTTTAAATATTACTATAGGATTTTATAAATTGACTTATATTCCATGAGAAAAACTTATACTTTTAGACTTTATTTAATCTACAAAAAATTATTTGAAACAATGACCATTAAATTATTCATAGTTGTACATTACAATGATGAAATTTTACAAACTAACGTTGGTTTTGTGTTTAAGTCGCACATGCCTGTTAAAATGATGTTCTCTACAGATGTATCTTATCGCCAAATGAAAAACAAAATTGAAAAAAACTTGAAGATTTTGTTTCATGTTTGAGTTATTGACACCTAGTCTCATCAAGTCTAATCAAGTATAAAACAATTCAACTTGATGTGATGACGATGTTGCTATTATGGTTGGACTATAACAATCAACAAATAATGACAGGATCGAGATTTATGCTGAAATTACAAATGCATCAAATGTTTCGACCTCATCAACAGTTGCACCGAAAATAGAAGAACTAGAAACATGTATACTACATAGAAATGGTGCAGATGATAATATTGTTAGATGATTCGGTGAAAGCCTTGTTGAGTTTAGCGAGGACGATGAAATTGTTGTTCCATTAATAGAAGAAGACGACACACCAATACTTTATGATTCTAATATATTTGAGGCTGCTTCTAAAGGACAAAGTTTGGATATTGAGTCTGATGTATGAGAGGATATGTTTCACAGGGTTATGGATTACAAAATGCTTCAAAAGTTTACGCCCAAACACCAACACAACCTCAACCCCCAAATAACTCTAAACGATTTACATCGGTATCATCATGCAGTTGTAATGCATGACATTAATTACGATGCTATGAGAAATCTTGAAATCTATGATATACCAAAGATATGTGCTGCCTACAGGGGTTATTCAAACGATGGATCAACGAAGTTGGTGATTAGTTCCCAGATTGAAACTAAAAAGAATGCACAATTTGCAATTAAGGAGTATTGCATCAAAGTTCATCTTTAATTCTATGTCGCAGAGTCTGATCAAAAAATATACTTTGCAATGTATATACACCATGATGTCGGGTGTAATTGGAGGATACAAGTTTCATACTTACAATGAATGATGTTGTGGGAAGTCACAAGGTTTAATGGTCAACATGCATGTACAATGAGCTCATTGACACAGGACCAAAATCATTTAGATTCAGATGTTATGTTCTCGTATGTCAAGCTTTTGGTCGAAAAAAATCAAGGAATACTTGTTTTAGTGTTAGTAGCATCCATCACATTTGGATATGTTATGCCTTACTACAAGTCATGGATGGCTAAAAAGAAAGCAATGAAATTAATGTATGGTCATTTAGATCAGTCATATATTGAGCTATCACCTCTATTACAAGCAATGAAATCTTTCATCATTGGAATCATTGTAAGATCTTATACGCTTCCTGCGACCACGCTTCACAGAGAAATTGTCTCTGGAAAAAAGAGTTTTTGATGGCTTGTTTTGGGCTTTCAAGTCATCTATTGGAGTGTTCTGAGTTTGCAAACAAATGGTTCAAGTCGATATGACTTTTCTATATGGAGTATACAAACACATCCTGATGATAGTTGTTGTATAAGATAGTGACAAAAAAAATTTCCCCATTCCCTTAGCCATTGTTAAGAATGAATCAGAGGAAAGTAGAAATTTTTTCTTTTCCATTTGCGTTTCCATGTTGTCACTCAAGATAGAGTTTGACTTATATTAGACCGTTCGCCTGGTTTGTTAGCGATAATTTCTAGACTGAAAGTAGATTTACACCTCCCACTCATATCTGATATTGTATACATCATATTGTCTCTAATCCTATGAAGAGGTTTAAGAACAAAATGATCAAAAAAGATATTATCAACATATGTAAGTAATACATTATTTTTCATTAATTATTTATGCTTAATTTATGTTCTTCATTTTGTATTCTTAAATCTAATTTTTTTTCTGGGTTTGTTTTACTACAATCATATTCCATGCACGGCTAGAACTGAGAAGATACGAAGAAGTTTATAACTTTGTAACTGAAATCCCTAGTGAAAGATGATCACAAGCATATGATAATCAGGAACGACATTACGACCATATGACAACCAACCTTGCCAATATAAACTTAGTGCTTAAAGGGACTCGACATCTCTCGATAACAAGTATTGTTAGGGAGACTTACTTTAGGTTGAGTAAAGTTTAGGCAGACAAAAGTGTATAAATAAATATTATGATCAACAAAGGGATAAATTGGTCTTCAGATTTGGAGAAGGCAATAAAAAATAAACATATGCAATATCAATGTTTGTTTATAATTTTTCCAGACTTGATTTTGATTACGTTGCCCAAGCCCTTGTTCGACCACATAAGGGGGCAATTCTGCCATATGCATTAATAATCTAAATAGAAAATGGTGTGGTTACATTTGATTTCAAGCTTTTAGATTATCATACGCTCATGTTGTCACTGCATGTCTATACGTTAATGTTGACCTATAACCTTATGCTGATGAGTGTTATAGCTTGCACACAATGTGTAACATAAACAGTTGTGAGTTTAAGTATCTCCCAAACGATTCTTATTGATCAACACAACTATTTTTGAAGAATGGTTACCAAACCTAGAATCGCATAAGAAGTTGAATGGCCGACCATAATCTAGCCGAATTCATACTGATATGGATGATCCTCAAAGAGAGCAAGATCTATCAAAGTTTTGTGGACACTGTAGAGGTGAATGACACAACAGAAAGTATTTTCTGCATTTTCCTAAATATCGACCTGGACGATAATGCATGTTTTTATTTGTACTATTTTTAACTGTGTTTATGTGATTCTCTAAATTTTTATCTTTCACTCCATTTTTTATTGTACTTTTTTATGTGTATTTATGTATTTTCAACGTTAATATTTTCAACTTCCACTTTTATCATACATAATTTAAAATTATTCATAAATAACTTTACTTACTACAATAATTAATTAATTAGTAAAAAGAATTTCATACATATATTTAGACTATAAAAATTAATATTTTTTTCATATATTATTTTATTTTTTTTCACCACTCTCTAAAATTCGTTTACTTGATCGAATTGGTAATTCTTCATATTTGTCTTATGTCTTATTTTTATTTTGCTCAAATTTCATACTATTATTTTTATTCTTTCTTATCCCTCTCTATAAGTCATTTATTACGTCGGATTGATAAGTCTTTGTACTTTTTTTTCTTCTTCTCGATTTTCATCGGCTTCTTATTCTTTTCCTCAACTTTTCTCCTATGTTTTTCTCTCTCAACTATCGACATTAATGCATGCTCTACCCACTCCTCATCTGAAAATGAGCTTGAATTTGAATCATCGTTATCGGAGTCGTAAAACCCATATACATTGTTCGCCAAATCATACCCAAATTGTTCCAACTGATTCGTGATTTGATTTTTTCCACTTTTCACACAAACACAATCAACTCACTCCTATTTATATATAAAAAAAACCAATATTACCGATGAAGCTCGTCACGCTCATATGACAAGTTCCAATGAAATTTAAAAATATTTTGCTCGTTGCCCAATGTTCAAGTAACGATTATACATCTAAAATTTAAAAGGAACTCGTCACACCCACAAGACGAGTCCCATTTAAAAAATAAATTTAATTTTTTTTAATAAAAATATACTATTTATTTTATAAAAGATAATATACTTTAATAGAACTCGTCATGTCCACGAATTCCTTAAAAAATATTAAATAATTTGAATCTACGGAATCCACATACATGAAATTATTTAAAAATAATTTTTAAATAAATTCATCGTGTGAACATGACGAATTTATTAAATATTGTAACATTTACCCGTAGATTCTAAAATAAATTTAAAATTTACTTATTGAATCAAATAAATAATCCATTTAAATTATTGGTTAAATTTTACTTTTAAATAACAGTTATGCAATAATAATAATTCAACGTCCTCTTAAAAGAATTTAAATTCGAGCGTGGTTAGCATTAGCGTAACGTCCATATGAATATTTCAGTCTCTCATCTACTTTCACTTTTCCTAAAATTATCCCACAACTACTAACCTCCACGTGTCTTTATTTTCCAATATCACAATCATCTACAGACGTTGCCACTTGCCACTCCTCTACGCGAGTGCAGTTCCCCCCCAACCCCCCAAACTGTGTCGCCAGTACACTCCTCTCCCTTCAAGTTTGAAAAGCGATGTAAAGGAAAAAAGACGAGCACAACGTTATGCACTCAAATTTCGCCTAAACTGCTCACACCCTTCTCACTATCTCGCTTTTCCTCTTACGCTCTCGTTATTGGCTAACGGTCATTCAGTGTTTCTGCTCCTTTTGTTTTCTAATTAACTTTGAACTCTGATTTCCTTGTTTTGGATGTGAGATTTTCTGGAGGGTTTATACTTTATAGGGTTTTCGAGTGACTGAATTTATGAATCACTGAGATTGTGGGGATTAAATTTTGTGTGTACGCAATGGTAGCTACAGTGTCCGCAGCGGTAAACCCCAAACAGCGTGGCGGAGGGCCACAGCCATACGGCCAACACCAAAACCCATCACGGCCTCCTTTATTGCCTTCCGACCCCGACAATGCTATTGCTCCCCGCCGTCACAAGTTCCGTGAGGTCACTTCTCGTTATTTGTCCACGCCGTCATCCTCAAATTCCTCAATGTCATCGTCTTCTTCTTCAGCGGCTTCTACCAAGCGGTGCCCGTCGCCGTTTGTTTCGAAGTCAACAACTCCATCGACTATCAAGCGGTCGCAATCGGTGGAGCGGAGGCAGGTGACGACGCCGCGGCCTAACAATTCTATGAATTTGAGAAATAGTGACGGTAACAATAACGGCGAATTATCCGCTGTTCAGAAGTTGCTCTTCACTTCGACGAGAAGCTTATCTGTTTCGTTTCAGGGAGATTCATTTTCCTATCAGTTTACCAAAGCTAAACCAGCTCCATCTCCAGGCGCGGCAAGGAAAGGCGCTCCGGAGAAGAGAAAGCCAACACCAATCACACCGACACCGGATAGAGGAATAGATCAAACGGGGAATTCATACATGGAGCGGTTGCCGGCCGGCTTTAGAAAATTGAATTCAATGAGTCGAATCGTCGATGGCGCCGACGAGAAGAGGAGGTTAAACGGATCTGTTAACGGCAATGTAGTTAGGGCACTACAAAATGCCATGATTGACACTAGAGATTCAACATGTGTTACAGCCGTTGGATCCGAGGCTCAATTTGATTCTGTGGCTTCGGATACTGAAAGTGTTTCTGCTGGTAGTGCAGGAGCTCCTGAAAGTTCTTCTAACGGCTATGAAGACGTTAAGCGTGGGCCTCGGGGGATAATAGTTCCGGCCCGGTTTTTGCAAGAGGCAAATAGTCGGTTACGCCGTGCCGGTCCTCTCTCGCCGGTTTCTAAGAAAATTACAACTCACTCTAAGATACATGCACCAGACAAGTTCGGTATTGATAGTCCTTCGTCGTCTCCTAAAGGTGTAGTGAACAGCAGAGGACAGTTATCTCCGATTCGTGGATCAGTTCGGCCTGCATCGCCTAGTAAGCTTGGTGTGTCCTCTCCTGCGAGGGGAATGAGCCCCTCTAGAGTGCGGAATGGATCCGCTTGTAATTTGGTAAATACTCCGTCAATTTTGAGCTTTGCTGGTGACGTTCTTAAGATGGGCAAGATTGGGGAAAATAAGGTTTCGGATTCTCATTTGTTGAGGCTACTTCATAATAGGCTGTTGCAATGGCGTTTTACCAATGCTAGTGCATATGCTGCTGTGTCTTCTCAGACCTCTAATGCAGAGGTATGGCTGAATTGCTCCCATATTGCATTTTACAATGATATTTGCCAGTTTTGCATTATGTATTGTTACATCTTTGCTAGGATTTCACCCTTAAAATTTAGATTCTATGATATGAACGGACAAATAGAGTTATTGGTAAAACTGGAACTCCCAAGGTCACTTTCTGCTTGAGAAGGCTTCGCACTCCAGCTTTTTGGTTATTCTATCGATTGATTATAATTTCTATCATGTGGTAGATGTAACTTTGTCATTGCTTTCAAGCATCACGTGATAGTTGTTTTGTGGGTTAAAACGATTCTGATGAAGCTGATGTTTTGGTGAAGGGCTGCATTGTTTACATGTAAACAGGGTTTCCATTATAAATTCTCCCAAGTTTTTCTTCCCCTGTAAACAGCTTGTTCCATTACAAATTCTTACTTCATCTGTTTAAAAAGATATCTAAATGCAATTCTTTAATAAGTGAAAATGGATGTCGATACTAGAATGGAAAGAGGGAAATTAAACTGTAGGCCTACTCTGCATTTCAAGGGCACCTGAGAGACACTGAGTTCAGTAGGTTGTGATTTCAAATTAAGAACAGAAGTTAAAAGGGCTAAATGTCTGAGAGGAGAGAATGGCTTATTACTTGCCGATCTTGCTTTAAGGAATGAGTTAGAGGCCATTCATTATGTTTGGAACAATCTGATCAAAATAGAGGCAAGCATAATTTTCGTTCTATGTGCCATAGAAACAGCATGGTTCAAAGATTTTAGTCTGACAAAGGAGAAACAGGGAGAAATAATAGTTGCATTCACTATATCTGGAACAGTCTGATCAAATTAAAGGCAAGCAGGTTTTCCAAACTCTATGTGCCATAGAAATAGAAATGGTTGAATGAATTTATTGAGAAAAACGAAGCAGGGGAAATAGGAGTTTGCTTCAGATTTTTTATTTTTCAATAGTTGATGTGATTAACATTTGTTTTAATTATTGTTTTGCGTTGTGTTTGTAAGGAGCTTGGTTTAACTATCTTATTGTTTCTGAGGTTACTTGCATCAGTTAAAATCTGATGAGAAATCCTTTTGTTTTATTGTGTTATTGCAACAGAAAAATCTTTATAGCACATGGATAACTACCTCAAAACTTCAAGAATCTGTTAGAGCCAAAAGAACCGAGTTGCAGTTGCTTAGGAAAAAATTGAAGCTGATTTCCATCCTGAAGGGGCAAGTAAGAACCATGTCTCCATTGTGGAATTGTACCTTGTTAATTTGATTATTTTGCTCATCTTAAACTTGATTATCCTAGTTTCTCATTCTCTACCTCTTCTGTTAGAATTCAAACTGCATCTCTCTCTATCCTGCTCTATCTCTTGCCATCTCTCTTCCCCCTTCCCATTTCCTCTCATCCTTTTATCTTACTTTCAAGTTGCTCCTTATCTGAAAAAACCTTTTACATATTCGTGTCAACTAAAATTGCATGTTTCAATTCATGTATTTACTCTCTCTTTTTATGAATGAGTTCAGATGATGCTTTTGGATGAATGGGATGTCCTGGACCATGATTATTGCAGTTCATTGTCTGCGGCTACTGAAGCTTTGATGGCTAGCACACTCCGCCTTCCAATTGTTGCTGGAGCAAGGGTAATTTTCATCTTGGGAATTTGTCAATTTTGTTCAAGCTGTGGTATTTCATGTATTAGCCTTTTTGGTCTTTAAAGAAACATCTTGGCTGGTTATTCATTTGTACAGGCTGATGTCCCAAATTTGAAGGATGTTATATGTTCAGCGGTTGACATAATGCAGGGAATTTCATCCTCCATGTGCTCATTGTTCTCCAAGGTAATTCTTTCTCAGTTTCTCTCATCCTTAGGCTCCGTTTCCTCTTTCACCCTTCCCACTTTCTTTTTCATATTAAAATTTGAATTTTTCCATTGTCCCCTCGTTTATATGCAGAGTGCAAACTTTATCTTTTCCTAATGTCCTGATACACTGTTTGTATGGTTAGAACTGCATGTATCCATGTGTCCAGAAGTTTTCATGTTCCATAGTGTGAAAGCTGTTGGGAAATAAACCAAGTAACAAGTAATTTCCCTATAGTCAGATTAGTGAGAATACGAAATAAAAGCGGAAAAATAATACCCGAAATTGATAACGGAGTTCAGCCAATTGTGCTTACGTCTTCGGACTGCTGCAGATCTTTTACTAAGAGAGAAAAATTACAGGTGTTTACAAAACACTCACTACTCACAAGAAAACTCTCTAGTATTGGGAGAAAGAAATGATTTTTGGGATGGTTTTGAAGCTAAATGAGCTAGGGTATTTATAGTTGAAACTTAAAGACTTAATCTTGTAAATACCCTAAAGCCTAGGGATTAATTGTGATTATCCCATTATCATTTTTCAACAAACATCTACCAAACTTTGAAAAACTATTTTCCAAAAAAACATTTACCAAACTTTGAAAACCATTTTCAAAGAAACATTTACCAAACTTTGAAAACCAAACTTTGAAAACCATTTTTTCAAAGTTGGTTACCAAACTTGAAAATCATTTTAATAATTTCAACAATCTCCCACTTGAAGACTGATTTTAATCTGTCTTTACACCTCGATCAATGCAACAGCTTTTCTAGTCTTGTTACTCTAGCATGTCAACTGAAGTTGAACACAACTTCAGTTTGTCTGTAGTCACCGTCTTTGTCAACATGTCTGCCGGATTTTGAGCTCCACTGATCTTTTCAAGTTTCAAAATCCCATCTTCCAGAAGAGACCGGATAAAATGATATCGCAA